TGGAAGAGGAGAATAGAATAGTGATGACTAATTCTTAGGAATGATGGGTTAAAAAAGCTTGAAAGAGAAAGATTAATTTTTAAAAATTGGGGTAGGGGGAAGGCAGTAGAATACAACAGACACTAGTATGGCAATATGTAAATCAATGGATGTGTAACTGATGTGAGTCTGCAATCTGTATATGGGGTAAAAATGGGAGTTCATAACCCACTTGAATCAAAGTGTGAAATATGATATATCAAGAACTATGTAATGTTTTGAACAACCAACAATAAAAATTTAAAAAAAATTGGGGTAGGTATCATGAGGTTTCTTGAGATACTTTTCACAATGTTAACCAAAACACAGTTAGATAGTTGGAATAAGATATAGTGTTCTACAGCACAGTGGGAAACTATAGCTTACCACAACTCACAATATTTTTTTCTAAATGTGAAGATCTCATACACTGCAAGCACAAGAAAAAGATAAATGATTAAGGAGATAGAAATAGTAATTATCTGATTTGATAGCTACACAATTTATAAATATATCAACATATCCCACTATGTCCTATAACTATTTAAAGTTATTATTGGCCAGTTAAAGAATTTTTTTTTAAAGTTAGAAAGTAAAATAAAAATATTCTTGAGAATTTATGATACTAATTTTTCAAAAATAATAAGTCACATAAAGTCAATTTTTCAAATTTTATATATGTATTATTTCAGTTATTAGTAGTATACAAGTAATAATAATTTTACATGTTGTAAATTTCACATGTAAAACGTGATTTTCACACTGTTTTTAATCCAACCTTCTTTTACAGTTCCAGTTCTATGTTCTGTAACATAGCTAATATTTTAGTGTACTGTGAGCAGCTAATTCAAACAAGAATATACATCTAATTAAAATATTTTCTACATAATTTTATGATACGAGTATATAGACAAGTTGTTTGCAACCTCTGTTTTACTTAAGCCACAGGCAGATAGATGATCATTGAAACTCTAAAGAAGATGAGATAGATAATCAAGGAAATGTTCTACAGTGAAAGAAGATGGAGGGCAAGGGCAGAGCCCATAGAACACAGCATCATAAAGGGCAAAGGGAGAAACAGGATCTAATGTAAAAGACAGGGTGGAACAATCAGAAATCTGGGCCCATTAGAATTATCACAGAAGGAAGAGGTGAGGTGACTTCCGGTATTACCAAATTCTATAGCTTGGTGAAGAAATTAATCAGATGTTGTTTGGAATGACATTTAAAGTTGGTTGTGATCTTGCCAGAAAGAAGTTTTAGTGAAATGGTGGAGACAGAAGACTAAAAAGGAAGGGGCCCAGTAGGACATTTTTCAATTTAACTCACTATCCCCCCTGTTTCACTTCTAAGTGTCCCTTTATATCATATGTGTACACTTTAGCCAACCTACTTTACTATCCAATTTTTTATTAATCTTGCTCTTTTAAACTTCCAGGCTTGAAAGAGCAAGATTAATTAAAAAAATGGGTAGGTATCATGAGATTTCTTGAGATACTTTTTTCATGTTCTCTGCCTAGTATAACCCTATTTATCATGTGAATGACATTTCTTCTGAGAAATCTTTCTATATTCCTCCAAGTTCTTCCTCTCTATGTCTATATAGTGTGTGTATTTATTGATGATTCACAGCCTGGATCATGTTCTACTTAGAAACCAGTATGCTGTTCTCTCCAAGTAAATTACAAGCTCCTTATTAGAAGCCATTTCTCCAGTCTTACATACTGCTCACACACAGTGACCTCTCTACCTATCATCATATCCAGCACCCTCATCTATTTTATCCATCAAGAAAATTAGTTTTGATTGAGAATTAGCTCAGGTTGTGGCAAAGAGCCTAAAGAAATATAAAATGATCCATTACCATATGTGTCTTTAACACAGAGTTACCCAATCAAGAGAAATACAAGTCACACCTTATTAAGTAGAAATTATTGTATAATGAGAGAAAAGCACAATTAAGGCAAGAAGAGAAAAAGACAATACAATTACAAAGACCAGGGAAATATCTCATGGAGGAGTTCATGTTTGAGCTCAAAGACATACACAAGTAAAATGGAAAAAGAGGGAGATGTTACTCTAAGTAAGGGAAACCTTGACATCAAATTAACTGAAGTGGGTGCACAAAGAAAATGCAAGTGATGTACATGGCGGTCTTCCTGAGGTGCACAGGAGAAGCAAGGTGATGACATATGAGTATTCGGAACTCCAAAATACAGAACACTGATAATGGCTTGAAAAGTGATGGGGTTCTTTTATGAATTCTTGAGCAGGAAAACAACATTTATTTGATTCATTGTGCAAATAAGAAGCACTAGAAAATGCCAGACACTATTGAGAGTGCTGGAAGTACAGGTTAGACATAGCAAAGAAATCCCTTCCTGCTAAGTCACTGTGTAAACAGTGGGGAAGGGGAAGGAGTGACCAATTATAGATGTACCTACAAAGGGATACATTTTAATGAAGAGTGATTAGTGATATGAAAAAATTTTTTAAAAAACATAATAAAGGTAAAGGGCAGCTGGTGGGGGGAAAAAAAGAAAGAAAAGATAATAGTCTTAGTAATTTGTGCTGAGGAAGAACAATAAAATCAAATTTCCACTGTGTACATTATAGGATATGGGGATAAATTCAACTCACGTAGTAAAGAAGTTGATGACCCTTGCTGAAACAGATAATATTCTAATTTTATCTACAAATGCTAAACTTTTTCATAGACTATATTAATTCCACTTCCTCCAGAAAGTGGACAAACAAGCCTGCGACAGGCTTTTCTACCTGTTCTACATCTTGTGAACAGCATGGTGAAGAGAACTGTGTAAATTAAGATGCTATGTAGAAAAAAAATCAGCATGATAATCATCAAACAGACTTCATTGAATATCAATTTCTTTAACTGCATTGTCCCACAGTATGTCTTTAATTAATTTCTTGTGGTTTGCATGCTTTTAGAACTTAATGTCTCCAAAGAAATACACTGACATCAGTGTAGGAAATCCCTTCAGGATTTGATGGAAAATTTTAACTTGGCAGTGTAAGAAAATATTATTAACACTGACCCTTACGTAGTGTCTTAAATGCTAACTTTCTAATCCCAAATGCTTTAACAAGAATGTGCATATATATATTCTTAAATTCTGATCCCTTCAGGGTAAAACAAATCACGCACTTTTTAGACGTTCTTAGTGAAATCTAGGTAAAATAAGTATTCACATTTATTTTCACCTTTAATGTTAGCAACTATAAATGTTTATTACCTGAAGTGTTTACCATTTCTTATTATTTCTACTTTTAATTGCTTTCTCATCTCTCTCTCAAAATCGAATAGTCTTATGAACTAGTATGATGTACAATACTCTGATTCATCTGACTCTGATTTTAACATAGAATTTCAAGAGTATATCAGAAAGAAAAACCTCTTATATAGTTGAGGCATTTACATTGAAAATTATTTGTGACTTAACTAATTCCATGTCTTGCTTACTTTTAATATTTTTGAGCAAACTAATTTATACTACCTTCTCTTTAATGTCCTAATTATAGAAATACATGATTTGATCATAGTTTATATGATTAGATTTGTCTGTCACCATGTCCTAAGAGACCACTAAGTAATGGGAGGAAATAAATTTTAAAGCAAAGCAGAATTTGAAATAAAAAATTCTGTTAGGATTCCTTTTCTGAGAGAGAAAAAAACAAGTATATAGGTGAATCTATTTTGATTAAATTTATATTCAATACATTTAACTTTATATTTGACCAACATTAGTTTCTGATTCTTAGGAAACAGTTGATTTAGATAAAAGATACACATCTTAGTTCCTTTATATGAAGATTTTAAAATTTTTCCATGTGGACTCTTTTTTCAAAGCTAATAGTCTAATTATGCAAAGGCAAAGGGATTAATAAGGATCATTACCAGGAAACTGAAAACAAGGTAACCTATATTAAGTGAAAGGGTTGAGCTTGCAGTGGACTTAACTCAGTCTATAGCATTTTATAGCTCCTTTAAGAAGTATGCAATACCTAACCTCAAAATGATTATAATGTAATAGGAAATTGTTCAGATACATGTGAAAGGATAATGCCATATAAATCTCACTTGAAAAATGGAAGATTGTGTTGGGTAAGGAAGACATGATCCACAATTCAAAAAAAGAGGTCAGTGTGTTTGGGGATTTTGGGATACTCATTTAAAACTTTATAAGGTAGCACTGTATGTAAACTGCACCTTACACAGAGAAAGAAGAGTTTATAATTTGTAAAAAATTATAATGGAAATATGGAATGGGATTTGTAGTACCCATTTTAGGCTTTACTGATCTTTGTGCCATCTCTAACACATAAATTTAATATATGTGTAGCATACCTTTAAAAAATTCACTCCTTTGGAAGAATATGAAAAAATTGTTATCTCAGTATAAAAAAAATGTGCATTTATAGTAAAATTGATTTTAGATATATTTTATGGAACTTCAAAAAGCTGACATAGGAATTATTTTGAAAAATGAACCTAATATGAGTATTGTAAATTTTATGTTGACATGCATAAATACTTGAAGATAAACCTTTTTCCACTTTAACAATCTTCCCTGGATTTATCAAAATATCCTTGTTAATTTCTAGAGTCACAAATTGATGTGACTCTCATGATGACTCTCCAGGAGAACACAATCCCATATAACTAAGTGGAATTGTATACTCTAGAGAGCAGAGGATGATAAAGAAGAAATTTCTGTCTTGTATAAAAAGAAATATTCAATGAATGGCTGAGATTGTAGCTCAGTGTTAGAGCACCTGCTTAGTGTGAGGTACTGCCTTAGATCCTCAGCACCATGTAAAAATAAATAAATTAAATAAATGTATTTTGTACATCTACAACTAAAAAAAAGAAAAAAAAGAGGAATGTTCAATGAAAAATTATGTTCTCTCAATCAGAATTTTACATATCAACAACTGTTATTTCAATGGACAAGGCAGAGATGACTAAGGACAACCACTCCTTGACAACTGAATTTATCCTCATAGGATTTACAGATAACCCAAATCTTAAGACCTTTTTGTTTTTTGTATTTTTTGCCATCTATCTGGTCACCATGGTGGGAAATCTAGGGTTGGTGGCCTTGATTTACATGGAGCACCATCTTCACACACCAATGTACATCTTCTTGGGCAACCTGGCTCTCATGGATTCCTTGTGTTCCTGTGCTGTCACTCCCAAGATGCTAGAGAACTTGTTTTCTGAGGAAAGTAGGATGTCCCTCTATGAATGCATGGCACAGTTTTATTTTCTCTGTCTTGCTGAGACTACAGACTGCTTTCTTCTCGCAGCAATGGCTTATGACCGCTATGTGGCCATATGCAGACCACTGCAGTACCACACCCTGATGTCAAAGAAACTCTGCATTCAGATGACCACAGGAGCCTACGTAGGTGGAAACCTGCATCCCATGGTTGAAGTAGGGCTTTTGTTAAGATTGGCTTTTTGTGGATCTCATCAAATCAATCACTTCTTTTGTGATGTCCTTCCATTATACAGACTCTCCTGTGTTGATCCTTATATCAATGAATTGATGTTATTTATCTTGGCAAGGTCAATTCTCATCTTTACTATTGCCATAGTTCTAATCTCTTATTTCTACATCCTTTTCACTATATTCACAATGAAATCCAAAAAGGGAAGGGGCAAAGCTCTATCTACTTGTGCATCCCACTTTCTCTCTGTGTCAATATTCTATGGTTCTCTGCTCTTCCTGTATGCTCGATCAAGTACAGTTAATGAAGAGGATAAAGATATACCGGTTGCTATATTTTATACTCTAGTTGTTCCTTTGTTAAACCCTTTTGTTTATACTCTAAGAAATAAGGAAGTAATAAATATTATGAAAAGAATTCTGAAGAAAGACTTTTGTAATTCTCAATAACAAATAGAATCTCCCTTGAAAGATTTATTTCAACTTGATAATACTTTTTCTAAACTTATAAGTATGAGAAAGTGAAAAATAGCCACTCTATAAAATTAAAATATTAATTGCATTTGAGTCAAATTTGTTTCAAAGGGAGAATTATGCAAAAATATATTTCAAGAGCAAATGTAGTGAGATCCATCAGGAGTAAATTCATAATATTCATGAGTGTCAGCATATAGTCACCCTGTTCAACAAAACCAACAAATGCTAAGGGGGAAAGTCAGTATTGTAAAAAATAGCCCTCATTTAATAATGTTGGCTAATTCCTCACATCCCAAAGCATAATTTTACAATCATGGGCATATCCAAGCTCTCAAATATTAATTCTTCTTTAAGAAATATTATCTATGAGAAGTAAACTATTTATTTGAATTTTATTTTCAACTTGACTTTAGTTATTTCAAAGAATTATGTTTCAATATGTGTTTATATAGAATGTTTATTCTCTAATCAAGAATATTGTTATAGATTAGATGTGAGATGTCCCCCAAAAGCTCATGTGTAGTAAAATGCAAGAAGGTTTAGAGGTGTAATGATTGAGTTAGGAGAGCCTTAACCCAATCAGTAAATGAACCTCCTTATAGGCATTAACTGGGTCGTAACTGTAGGCAGGTAGGGTGTGATTGAAGAAGGGGATCATTGGGAGCATACTTTTGAGGTATATATTTTGTATCTAGCTAATGAGTCATGAGTCTCTCTCTCTCTCTCTCTCTCTCTCTCTCTCTCTCTCTCTCTCTCT